CAGATTCAACTTCACCTCATAATAACGATTACGAAACGGATGCAAATACGTCACAAGTATAACCTCAAGGACAGAAAAGAGAATATGTTGGAAGGCAATTAGCGTGACAACCTCAACTAAGAAGTCAACAAAATTATCTCAATAGGCCCTACTGACTTAAAGACAACCCGACTCCATTGGTATTTATTTAATTTAGAAGTATATTTATTAGTTAGCAAGGAAATTTGCCTACGCGCCCTTATATATATATCAAGATTCTTTGTTCATTCTTACACTGATTAAACATTTTAATGCTTGGTCACGAATACAACGTCAGCTGCACGAAGAGCTTTCTGCCATCAAATAATGGTATGGCTTTGTTGGGTAATATGACGATTTGCGTTCCTCTGATAATTCTCGTGTACTACCTTGTTGATCTATTTCGCTAAATTGTTCTTTTTTCTCTATCATCTTGGATGATTCTATCGGTTCCATTATAGAGAGAGGTACTTATTTGAAATATATATCCTATCTCAGTCATTTGAGGTTGCGTTGTACTGTTGAATGACTGCGATTGTTCAGTGAAGTTTATTGTAGGAGGGGGGGACTGAGCCCACTGTTTTTAAATATCTTCCCCGTAATGAGTGTTCTACCGGGATTACGTATCCGGTAAGTTGGCTTTCTCCCCCCTCATTCTTCTCCTCGACGTCCTGCACCTCAATGTCCCACTCTTTCGTTCTTTTTCGTAACGCAATGTCCCACTCTAAATCAGCGTTCTTGTCATCAGGCGACTGGCGAGTAGGTGTGGCGGGAGGTGAGATGTTTGGAGTGGTAGTGGCGGAAGTAGAAGTAGTAGTGGCGGCGGAAGTAGAAGTAGTAGTGGCGGCGGAAGCTGTAGCAGTAGCAGTAGTGGCGGAAGCTGTAGTAGTAGTGGCAGTAGCAGTAGTAGCGGCGGAAACGGCGGAAGCAGTAGGAGTAGTAGCAGCGGAAGTAGTGGTAGTAGTAGCGGCGGAAGTAGTGGTAGTAGTAATGGTGGCGGAAGTAGTGGTAGTAATGGTGGCGGAAGTAGTGGTAGTTGTGGTCAGTAGAGGGAGTACGCGACGGATAGCTCTATCCCGCCAGGACTGGGCGGGATGGCGAGGATTCTCCTCCGCGAAGGCCTGGTAGATTTTGTTTCCTTTTAATTCTGAGGTTCGCGTTGCTATTTCTGCCACGTACTGGAAGAGCAGAGCATCCTCATCCTCCGTAAATGCTAGTCTTCGTTGTTTTTGTCTCCTCATGGTGAGATAGTAAGTGAGATAGTAGGTGATAGCACACGACACGGGGGACGCGTGATTTAAATAATAATAATGTTACCAAATCTGGCGAGTGATATAAACATGATGCACAAACACTGAAGTGATACACAAAACACGTTTTGCAAAGCCTTACGCGTATGTAATTCCCGTGGACAAGATCCGATATAAACAAATCTTGCGACCCCCCATTTTCCCTACTCCCCCATCCCCCACTCCCCTACTCTTCCTCTCCCCCACCCCCACTCACATCAAGAACGCTGTGCGGCTCTCTTCACCTTTGGTAAGCTAAAAAGTTTGTCTTTTTTTTTTATGTACTTTAATTTCCTGCGTTTTGGTTTGTTTTTTTGTAGGAGCTTTGTGCCCCGTGCGCTATGAGGAATGTTGCATGCCGAACCACCACTGAGTGAAAGGCGGCAAAAACTTGAAAGTTTTTTTTTTTAGCCTAAAGATTCGCTTTTAAGGCTGCTGAGCCGCGGGGTACAACAAGCAAACAGAAAGTTTCTTAATTATAAAGTAAAAGTTAGCAGTTACAGTCTTCTTTTTTTTTTTTTTTTAATACAAATTTTAGGTCGCAAGTAAAACAAAAAGTCTGATAATGAATATTTTTATAACAATACGTTGATTCCGCATCGCATGAAGCAACAACACTTCAAGTTAAACAATTTATTAAGCGTCTTTCGTCCATTTTTTTAACCGCAATAATAATAATAATAATGTCGCATTATTCTCAGCTAGTAAACTAGCTATTACTATAATAATTACAGATTTGCTGTATTCAGTATTTATTTTTTGGCAAAGTTTAGACAAATTTCATGATTGTGATACTAATACATGGTTGATTTAGAATAAAAGTTTTGAAGTTTAAAAGTGACATACTCGTCATATTATGCTGTCATTTTTATGTTCCCTTTTTCGTCTAATGCTAACCTTTTTCTCCGGTAAGTGCCGTGAATTTTTCACTTCGACGTTTATAGGGCGTCTTACGTCTTTATTTATGTGACTCGCTGAACATAATAGTAATAGTGACTACAATTAATAATAATAATGCAACAAGTCTGTCTGTAATACAAACTTTATAACGTTATTTAAAATAACCGAATACTAATGCAAGACAGTCATTGCGATATTTTACTGATAACTTAGCCAATTCATTTGTCCAATTTAACGACGAATTGCTGTCAAAGTTTTCACTTGCATATAGATAACGTTTATATTGAGTAATTTATATTATGTTGACCCCTCTATTATTATTATTATCATGATGCAAGTTAAAATTGTGTAGCTTCATAATTTACTTTTCAAGGTACTAGGACGGCATTTTTGCTTTGTAAAATCGGTTTATATATCGAAAACAGAATCGTTTATTATAAATTAGATTGATATGGATCCCATTCGTAGATAGTATTGAAGGATCGGAAGTTGGGCTCTGTTGGTATAGGTGAGATTTTCACTGAGTGTATTTATTAATTAATATTGTACGGTAGATGATAATAATGTGATTAATTTTATCAAGATCCGATAAAGGTAGTAAAGAGTTTTCAGTAGACATTTTTAGTGATTGCACAAAAAATAGAGCGATGTCATCCGAATATAACATCATCTTAAATGAATCAAGTATTAGTATGTTAATAAGTTCAGACTTTTAATATTATTACTATTGTCATGCAATTACAATTAAACAATTGATCAGCAAATGATCGGTAAAAGCTTTTATCTTAATAAACCAAACCTAGTATGTCACTATTGATATCGTATCGCCAATGAGCTAACCGCTAAAGGCATTAGTTATTTAGGGGGCCAACATTCCCTAATTATAATACTAACTTAATACGAAAATCACTGACGATCCGGACAGAAACGCATATTTAATATTGGTTACTGACAAGGCCGCCGAACTTTTTCTTCAACATACTGATACTGAAAACCTCAACATATGCTTGTTTGAGAATACTGTTGGGGTGAAATAAAGGTCTGTCATAATGATAAATTTTTATTAGTATATAATAATAATGATGGCATATATTTGTACTACGCTGCATAATTGCCTTGCCTAAGGCGGTCACGTAGATGACAAATTTGCAGTTAAGCAACTCATACTTGACAATTTGTGGCATAATCAACCCGCTACTTTTAGCAGTTAGCCCAAAAATTCCGTGCATCTTATATTGTGTGGTAAATTTCGGAATGCTTTGGACGACCATGTTGAAAAAATGTTTGCTCGTAGAGACACGTGGTGGCTACTGAAACAGATAATCTATGATTTCCGCGAGATAGCACAGTGGCGTTCCCATGGAAATCATTGGAAAAAGCGAGGAAGATTTCTCCCGCGTCATTCCGTCCTACCCAAATACCCTCCATGAGAATAAATCTTATGATGTTATTAAACGCTTGCTAATAAAGGACACAGTTACATCTTATAAGCTGTAATGTTGGATAGGAATGTCAGCAATCAAATGCACCTATACATTGAAAAAGTGAATATTAATATTAATATTTAACAACATAAATGCAATTCATTTATTTATTCAATCAACGGAAAAAAGACAGATAGTTCGTGGTACGTAACAAATGCTAACCACTTGTATTTGGGGCTGCAGGGGGGCATATTAAATTTGATCGACATGTGAATATTAATATCACTTGTCATAGAAATGAATAGTTGCGAACATGACGTTCACCCATCGCAAAATCTAACATCGTAGAGAAGGATAACATCAGTACATTTAATAAGTATTAATATTAATATTTGAGTTTTCATCCTTATTATTATTATTATTATTATGTAAATAGGCTCTACAAATATGATTTTTAGCACAGCCACGTTTGTGTGAATTCCCATGGTCGATCATTCACTCACTATACACCAATTTCTATATAAGGTATGTAAATGTATGTTACTTGAAAACGTGGGATCCATGTATTATGATTAATGTGATTTGAGTTTATTATTATAATGATTTGCAAATTGTTAATGATAACTGTTGTATGATTTGAATTTGCATATACTGATAGTAATAGTAATTAATCCTTATCACAACGTAAAGAATTGTTAATTCGCGAACATTTTAATTTTTTAACAATCAATGGACACAGTTTTCCTCGCGATGATTTGCAACCCATGTTTCTCTAGAACATAGTAAAACATATTAATATATTCGTAATATTAATATATAATAAATTTGAACGAGTTACTTATGTTACTGTTCTACATATTAAAAATTCAAAGATAAACCGGACAAGCGAATATTCTGATAGATTGTCAATCAAAGAATTATAAATGCAACAATATTATTGGCGTTATTTCTTGTATGATTTATTAAAATTATATTAACATTACTAATAATAGTCAAAAAGTGCATTTTAATTTACTTATAATAGTAACGATTAATAATAATATATACATGATAATATCTATATACAATTATATTAAAAAGTCGGTTTAATTTGCCACAATTATTGATGGGCGAACAATATTACATGATGGTAACAACTTCTATCTACAATAAAAACGATTGAATCAAAGCAATTCTGGTAAACAGTGTATTGGGGAGTGAGTGTGGACAATAGACAATCCAAAAATATGACTACACGAATGATGTAACACATACTAATATACTTGTGTTTAATCGGATGAACTTGATTTATTAAATTAAATTATCGGTACGTGTATGCCTCTCGTCGCGCCTCACGCATTTCGGTATAATCGGTTCTTAGACCTGAAAAATGAAGAAGTTTTTGATGAGACTTGCCCAGCAAATGGTTAGAAAAATGCCTCGACCGGATCGAGACGTCCTGAAAGAGCAGGATATAAAGACTATCGTAAAAGGGAACAACCCACCCAAGGCATTGTAAAAGGAAACAACCCACCCAAGACATTGTAAAAGGAAACAACCCACCCAAGACATAAAAACTATCGAAAAACAGGACATAAAAGACTATCGTAAAAAGGGAAAACAACCTACCCAAGACATTGTAAAAGGGAAAACCACCCAAGGCATAAAGACTATCGTAAAAAGGGGGAAATGCCTCGGCCGAACCGAGACAACCACTTGCCTTTTAATGTCAGGATATTTAACGTCTGTGGATTAATTATTTATAGAATGGTTTAAAGGGTTCTTATATAGTTAAAAAGTTTTAGGAGAGGGTTCGTTTATATATAATATTATTGCGGGAAAGAACGGAATAACGCGGATAAATACTCGTATACTAATTAGTATGTTATTAGGAATGCTATGACTATCAACTAATCAACAAAATCAACAACATGGACGACTCCAACATGGACGACTCCAAACTGGACGACTCCAACCTGGCAGAAACAGAAAAAGAATTTTTCAACAACAACTCCTGGAAGTTAATAAATTTTATCTCATTTCTTGAGAAACGTCAAGAAGTGGATAAAAGAATCCACCACCAGTGGAAGTGTGCACTGTACCGCATAATAACCGGTGCCAGTGCAAATAAGTCAAAGTCAAGAGCCAAAATTTTGTAAGAACCATCATCATTATTATTATTTTTATTATTCTTCCCAATAATCATCATCTTGTCATCACATTATTATTAGATATCAAAAACATGTCAAAAACGACAATGAAGTAAGACAATATTGGATAACACGACAGCAACAACAGCAACAACAGCAACAACAGCAACAACAGCAACAACAGCAACAACAGCAACAACAGCAACAACAGCAACAACAGC